TAGTAGGCAGCTGCTGCACCCCTGGAGCCTCTGCCCCTGCGCTCTGCTTTTCGTTGTTTCTCGGAGAGGGCTTTGTGTTTTTGCAGGCAGCTGGCCTCGCATCACAATCCTACTCACGTTTGCCATGTTGCTGGGATTACAGACCTGAGCTGCTGTGCGTGACTCCAAAGGATTCTTGGGCAAGAATTAACAGAGTTTTCTCCTCATCCCTCATTTGGGCTGAATGTGGGTTAAAAACCAGTAACATCTACCTAGGGCTTCCCACGAGCCAGTCATGTTCCACCTCAGGACTACCCGGTACTGTGGTCTATCATTTGTCCCCATTTACAGAAGAGAAGGTGGAGGGAAAGGAAAGCCACCAAACAGTATCCTCAAGCTATCCCAGGCAGATTCTATACATTGTAAATGAACTGTATTTGGAATAATTGTCACAGAACTTCCAAGAATCAACTCTAACCCAATGCATAATTTTAAAGGAGACAAAATGACTGGCTTTGCTCTTGCCATCGTGGTTTTTGAGAACGGTGTGGCAATCCTGCCATCCCCAAAGGGGGACTGTTCTGCATCTGCTCCCAGTCTTCTACATTTTAGCCCCTCCGGTGACTAAGGCCAAATTATTTCAACTTATGATCTGCTTACTGAGACACGGTCCCGTAGCATCTACCTATATATTGCTAAAAACTAGTTACCATGTTGTATGACTGACTGTGCCCTTGACACGGCCCCAGGTGTCCTCACTACCTCTCTTGATACGTGGTGTGAGAAGATGCCTTCCCTCACCTTGACCATTTTCTGCCTAGATCTGGAACCAGCCACTCTCCACGGCTGCCCTGCTTCCTTATGGTAGGAAGGACACACTTCAGGCACTAGGGATGCATTGTTTGTAAACTGTTCCAGAGTACCAAGTTAGGAAATATGTAAGTGTATTTAAGATAAACTATATCATGAGATCAAATTGTTATTTCCTTATCAAATTGAGAAGTAAAGGATTTTCATTTAATTCCTTTATAAGTCCATCTTTTTTTTTCCTCCCATGTCAAAACCTGGTTTCTATAGTTACCAACATAATCATTTACTTTCTTTGGCAATAAGCATGCAATACTCTCAGACCACCAATTCAACCTCACAAACACAATACTTCCTTAAATTAAACAATTACTGGAAAGTTTCTGCGTGTAGCTCATTTATTTATCTAGTTAGTAGTTCTCATGTGCTGGGAATCAAACCCAGGGCTTTGCACATGTCAGGCAAGCCCTCTACCACTGAGCTACTGAAGCAGGGACGAGGGCCAAAAAACAGAAGCAAGCAAGTCTGTGTTCTGATAATGTGGCAGGGGGAGGGGACGGCATAGCAGGGAGATAAAACTTAAAGAATCTAAACGTGAAGAAGGTCATGTAGCACTGGGGTGAAGGAGACAACAGAGTTGCATGCAACCATATTTGGGTTAAACCTTGCTCTTTGCTTCTGTAACCTGCTTGCAAGGGTATATAAGGTGAGACCCCTTTGTGGTGGGGGCTCAGCCTTTGGTATGAATCTGCTGAGCCACTGCCGGCTTCCTGAAATAAATAAAATAAATGAAATAAAATATTGCTTCCTAAAAAGCCGTGGTGTCCTGTGTCTCTGTTTGAGATTCCTGTAACATTACAGCTCTAGACCTCAATCATTTATTTATTTATTGTCACCATTTTTTGTTCTTAGGGTATACCCCTTTAAGAATGCACAGCAAAATTCCTGTATTTTAAAGTTGTTTGAAATAATTCCTTCCTGTGTTTATGCCACCAATTTGCTATATGGTTAGGTGTATTTATTTCATTTTCCTTTCAATATTTAGGAATTAAAATTTCATTTTAACAAATATGTAAATCCTTTTTTTTTTTTATAAAGAGGTTTCTTTAGCTCAGGGTCAAAGTTCAACATCAGGGGACCCCATTCAGCCTCTGATGAGGGGTCCATGGCTGCACCAAACTTGGTGGAGGCATCATGGGGTGGAGGCATCATGGGGTCGCACATCCTGGAGGATGGAGGAAGCAGAGATTGGATTGTTCTTCTCATTCTTTTTATATCCCACTCTTATGGAACTAACTCAGTCTGCAAGACTAAGGTTAATCCCTCCAGGGGTCAGTTCCTCCAAAGACTGAAGTACCTCCCACTGGGTCCCACCTCTTAAAGGTTCTACTACCTCCCAACACCACTGCGCTGGGGACCGAGTTCCAGCACATGAACCTTTGAGGAACATTCTCAACCACAGCCATCTGAAATCCAAATCTAGGACGTCTCCCCATGGACTTTTGTTTCAGAAAGCCCAGCTAAAATTACCAGACTTGTGTGCTGTTCACATACGGGGCTTAGTTTCTCTGTTAAGAAATTTCTTGTGCCAAATAATGCAGTTGGTACTGCGTGGAGAAGTCAGTCTTAGCCCACGCTCTGGCTACTGCTTAATGCTGCATTTTGCTGCAGAGGTAGCTTCGTCACTTTAAAGGAACACTTCAAGAGATGCCATTTCAAATTTTTGCTCCTGTGGATTTCTGCATTGACAGTCAATGTGCCCACTTTTAACATATTTGTTAAGATACTAGTAATGGCTTCTAAGAAAGTAGGAGAGTGTTTCCCATAGTCTTCCCTATGGACACCTGTCATGAGATGCTTCTTGGGAAAAGAAAAAGTTCTGTGGTCAAATATACTTGGACGATGCTGTTTTTTTCAAGAGTTCCGACATACATCAGTATATCAAAGGCTCTGAGTAGACATGCAGTCGAAAATGAATCTTGTTCAGCCCAACATATCCACAAACTGTTTTCCTACAAACAGTAGCCTACTGCATTCAATTAAATGCAAAATTCACTTTAGGAAATGCCAAGCTACAGTTGGTTATTTTAGTTCTGTAGGTAGTGAAGAGGGTCTGGACGGTAGAACTTCAGTGGATTTGTATTCTGTGTGTATGGTAACTCAACACTTTTTTTTTTTTGACAATTAAGATTTTGTGATGACATTAAAATAACTGTCATATTCAGTAATGTTCTTTTCAAAAATGATTTTTAAGTACCCTTGCTTATAGTTACACATTAATTTTCCATATTTTTATTTGGCTGATTTTACTGTAAAGTCCCTTTCTTTTCCTTTTAATGTATTTAACTCTCACTGAACACTTTCCAGGTGCAGAGTACCATATTAGCATCAGAGCAGTAGATGTCATCCCTGCCTTTGGAGGGTCCACAGTCAGAGACAACTGAGCAGTAGAGATGGAGTTCAGTGCCAGCTTCTTGAGCAACAGTCCTGGAAGTCACCTAGGAGAGACTGTCAGGATAGCTGCAGAAATCCCCCAGGATGTGGTTTTTTTGAGTTGGATCTAAAAGGATGAATAGGAGTTGATCCAGTGCAGTGGAACATGTCCGTTATTAATTTTGGAGGGGCTCAGTCCATGATCTCTTGGCCTTGTGCTTGGGAAGAACATGATGGCAGCTGAGGATGTGGTGGAAGAGAACTGTATCTTACATAAAATGACATAGTTTATTTTGTGTTTGCAGTACTGAGGCTTGAACTCAGGGCCTACACCTTGAGCCACTCCACTAGCTGTTTTTTGTGATGGCTTTTTTTTTTGTTTTTTGAATAGAGCTTCACAAACTGTTTGTCTGGGTTAACTTAGAATTGTGATCCTCCTGATCTCTGCCTCTTAAGTAGCTAGGATTACGGGCATGAGCCATCAGCACCCAGCTAAAATGACATAGTTTTTGCATATAACCTATGTACATTCTTACACATACAACAAATATTCCCTTTTCCCACTATAGGTTAACAATTTCTAAGCCTTTAAAAAAAATCTATAGTTAATGACATAATATTGTATATTTAAAAGTTTAAGAGGATAGATCTCATGATAGTCATTCCTACCATGAAAAAAAAAAGGACACAAAGAAGTTTTGGAGGTGACAGGTTTATTATGTTTAATATCTTAATTGTGTTGATGATATCATGGGTGTATGTATACATCTGAACTTGTCAAATTATATACGTTAAATAGTAAATGAGTAGTATTTTGGTATATGAATCATATCCCAATAAAGCTGTTAGAAACTTTTATATGCTGAAGACCACTGTAGTGGTATACAGAGATACTATGTTTTGAAGTTATATAGTGTTCCACTGTGGATGTGCCATAGTTACACAAATGATCTCCTCTTGATGGAAATCAATTTTCTTGTGTGTTGTTTCTCTTCCAAGGAATTCTGTCATGATTAAACAGTTCCCTATGGTTACTTTCTCTCATCCATGAGTTATCTTTCAAGCTTGCATATCCACTCTCAGCAACTTTATTCCAAGCAAAAGGCTGGCTCTACCTACATACATTACTTAATTAGTTCTCAGGTGGCTAATATCCCTGACAAAGTACTAACTACAATTTTAATTCCAAGTCACTTCAAAAACAATGACCCTGAGTGCCTGCATAGCAAGCAGGAGGCTATGAGTTCAAACCCCAGTTACCACCAAGAACAAAACCAAAAATCCCCAAAAAACAATACCTCCAAAAGGAAGTGGGGAGTTGCTATCACGTAGGCACTTTCTGTGTGGGATGATTCCATTGTGAGACAGTGACAGGAGCACAATGTTCAACGTATCCAATGCCACTGAACTGTGCACTTAAAATGGTTAAAACGGTGAATTTTATGTTCTGTGTATTTTCCTCAATTAAAAAGGAAAAGAGGGATCTATGTGAAACACCTTAAAATTTACTAATAGGGATATTTTTCCTAAGAAACTGCTATATTATGTGTAATCTTACACAGAAATTAAAATTTTATACATGAACTAAGTGAAGTTTTTGGTTGACTAAATGTTTTTCTCTGCACAGTCGATCGATGTCCTCACCCTTCTCCACTGTTCCTTCCTCCACTGTTGCAGTAAGTGAAGGCTGGCCACCCTTCCAAGCACACTTACCTCCTCTGGCTTTCCTCAACTAGATCAAGGCTTCCATTTTTATCACCTTAATCCTTAAGAAACGGTTCCTTTCTCCAGAGTTGTAATGAGTGAGAGTTGGCCATCTTCCAAACTTAGTCTTATCTTTCACGGACTCTTCTTCTAGAGACTTTTACTTATCTTATTACAGGATGACCTGAATTTTATGGCTCCTAACTGAGGTGTACATGACTAGGGAATCCAGCTCAGTGGCAGATTTTTCAACCTATCCTAATGAGGCTTGAGTCAGTGTTTATTACCCTAGGCTGAGATGTCAGAGACCTGGGCAAGCCTACACTGAGACTTTTCTGAAGCTCTAAGTCTGAATGGCCTAACATATGGGCCCTTGCCCCTGGGAAACAGTGAAGTCCTTTCACTATCTTTTCTTCAAGACCTTTTCACCTTACCATTGATAAATAGAGGTTTCAGACACCATGAGATCCTTGGCTTTTGGTGCTCAAGAGATACATGGCATCACAAGCTACCTTGCCTTAATAGGTCATGTAAAAAGTCTTTACAACTCAAGTAGAAAAAACCAGTTTTATTCCTTGTAGAAAGTACCCTCCTCCTTCCATCACTGGAACTATATGGCATGGAGTGACAATGAGTTGACTCATTTGCCTGCACCACTGGGCACATCAGAGGCAGGACCAGCACCTATGATCTGAGCCATCGCTATTTCTCAGTCCAGTGTTTGGGACAATGTGTGGCACTGTGTGTGTGTGTGTGTGTGTGTCTACACGCGTGTGCCACTCATGGCTGCCTATTCATTGCTGGGATAAGTAACCACCTTAACCTCAGATTATTCACCTCAAAAGCAAGTAAGGGAGACAATAAAGACTGAAGCCTTAATATAGTTAAGAGTGACAAGGTGACTTCAGGCACCTGGAAATAACTGGGACAATTCAGAGCCAGACAGTGGGACAAGAAAGCATTCACCCAAGTGCTCTGGAGTAAGACCCTTAGACCTGCCTGTTGAAATCTGGGTCACTGACAGTTCCACAAAAGCAGAGAAGCTGCTGTTACAATTCCCATGCACCCAACCTCAGTTCCAACAAGTACCAATATTTTGTCAATCTTGTTTTATGTTTATCTTTTTTTTCTTTTCCTCCAATATTTTAAAGAAAATTTCAGATACCATGTTTTTTCACCTCAAAGTATTTCAGTATAGGATTATCCAAAAATAAATACCCAGTGTCCATTACCAGAAAATCAGCAATGTTATTTTTAATACAGAGGTGGTACAGAATGTTTAATTACAGCAGGGCAGTGATTCCAGTTAAATAAAATTAAAAACCTTTATTTTCCCAAATATAAAATTACTAAATTAATGTCTTAAAAGAAAATATAACATGGTAAGAGCTTTAATGTATACCACCCCCAAAGTTTTTATGATTTATCAATCACATATTCTACCATTTTGGCAAAAGGATGACATTTTTGACAGTTTATAAACCTTAATATAGCAAAGACTGTATACATCTTCATATTGCACTTTTTATGTACAAGAATAAAACAGTAAAGTCAGTGTATTGCATGTACTATACGAACAGCACAAATTTGTCACAATTAAACTTAATGACTGCATAAGCAGATGTATTAAAAATGTAGAAATGTAATACATGTATGTACACGATGCCGAGGCTGTATTAACAAACAGTGTGTACACAGTGATAGCTGTACTACGCTTTACTGTTTAGCGGAACTGTTTGTTAGTACAGGCCTTTGGTTCTAAACTGTTGACTAGCTTTAGGCTTCACATAGTTCCTTAAGCTTTCCTATGTTTTAAATGCAAGGGATAAGTATAAAAGCAGTCATCTCCTCATCCACTGGTACAAAAATTACAACAGTCAGATCCCTTAGGTCATCGAAAACTAGTCACAAAAATAGTTCTTATATTCAACCTGAATGTGCCACAGGAAAAAAATAGTATTTTCAAGATTTTCCAGCATAGCCTGGAGGCAGAAGGTCCTCCAGCCCCAGTTTCAGTGCTGCTGTCCCTGCTAGGTACATTCTGGAACACTTTTTTTTGTCTTTAGGACATTTTTTTTTTTTAACTACTACTCTGTAATGAAGAACAAAATTTAACTTCAGCTTAACAGTGTCCACCACTTACCTCTGTTAAGATGCAAGGAAAACTCTGGATATTGCCAGTGAGACTTAAAAAAATATGTGCCCCCTCTTTCAACTCCTATAGAAAATCTGCTGTGAAATCTCACAGTCCTTCTTCTCTCCCATTCCCCATGGCTTCTCCCTGTGCTCGGTCTCCCCAGTAATTAGCTTTGGGAATCATCCTGAGTTTACAAATGACAAAGCAAGTCCCCACTTTGGTCCATGAGGCAAATTCACACAACTGAGGACGAGCTGGTCAACCCGTGAACCATTGTGCTTGTTGGAGTTCCGCTAATGGCATTGAAGATGTGAAGGGAATTCGGCAAAACACTGGTCTTCTCCTCCAGGGGGCAAATCTTGAGGTACAGAAACACAATGTTACCAAAGCATAATGGCCCAAACATTATTCAAAAAACAGTGCCTTTCAGGTAACATACACAACTTGTTACCTATGTCACTCCATCACTGTGACTAATGCTGCACCCAGCTGGGCTTGACTTTGGCAGTTTGCAGGAAGAGACTGTTTCTGCTTATCTAGTAAATGACCATCCCAGATCCAATTGTAAGGACTTCAAGAACAACGTGGTTTGTTTCCTTTAAAAGTTAGTGAATGGACAGCCTTCCTAGCCTCACCAGATCGCAAGGCGACCTGAGGTCTCTCTTAGAATTTGATTGGGACATGTCCTCACCTCATCCCTTAAAACAGCCTTTTGAAATGAGTTTGAAGCATTTGATTCCTGTCGCCTTTTCTTAAGGTCTTACAGATTACCATCCTGAGTAAGAGAAGGATTCTCTCTCACCTGACCCTAAATAAGGATCGATTTATAGCCAGGAAGGAATCCAGGTATAGGACCTGACCTCTTCTCAGATGGAGATAAGAAAAGACCCACACAGAGGGTCTTCTGGAAACACCAAAAGCAACCACTCCAGATCACAAGTCTTTCGCTTGAGGGTTCAAAGGGGTTTAGTGTTCATAGTTGTTGACAAAATAGGAAGTTTAAAGTACAATGGAAAGCAAGTCAGTGCAGCTCATGTCGTACAATCCAATAGTTTCAGGCCAGAATTCCTTCCTACTTTCATGTAATTTAGTGCTGAATGCTGGCAACCGCTGAAGTTCTCTGTTCTATAAGAATCTGAAGGTTCCATGGAAAAGACCTTAAGTTTTCTTCATAAATTTGTTTCCATGATACCTTCCCTTTCTGTTTAATTATTCACACACTCATTTCTTTAATCATTGCAATTTTTTCTACTTTTTTTTAGTGTTCAAAAGAGACTTCTTTCCTTTGTACATGCATTGTCCAATGTTTGAAGTTGCTCAAATTCAGTAATAACTTTGAGTCAGTTTAGGTAAGTTAGTTTATCAGAAAAATAAAATTTAAATATGACATTACCATCCCATCTGAGCATGTTAGCATGGGGGAGGAAAAAAAAAAGCAAGTAAGTTAAAGCTCAAATATTGCAGTTAGTTTCTCGAAGTGGAAATTTCCTAACTAAATCATCATGTGATAACTGATACAAAGGACCCTGGGCTTCCGTTCTGTAAGATCAAAGACAATGATGCAGGGAAAGACAAAACCAGTCATGTGTGAGCAAGGTGCTCTCACTAATGGAAGACCAGGACAGCGACTGAAGGAGCATGGGTGCTACTCTTTGACATTCACTTGGTACCCTGGTCAGACATCTCCTCGATGACCACTGGGCCCACACAGAGAAGTCACATAGGAAGGAGACAAGAGCAATGGAGTTGGGAAAGATGCCCACAATGGCAAGGAACATAGAAAACCAGTCATGACCGATCTACTGAAGCACTCAGGTCAACTGTAAATAGGCAGAAATGGAATAAGTTTCTTTTTAAATGACAAAAAATACTTAATACAGCAGATACTGCCTTCAGGCAGGGTGGTAAGCCCTGTTCTATCAAAAGATTGACAGAATAAAGAAAGTTGTAAGAATAGAGTTAAGAATGATTTCTTTTGGCTAGCTTGGGGTGGGGAGAGGCCAAGCTTATGAAATGTAGCGCCTTTATCTAACAGCAATGATGAGTTGGGGCTGCTCTGCCCGGTTGCTTTAGATAGCTTCCCAAATGACCTGTGGCTACAGCAGCAGGAAAATGGAATATTATATTTTTATTCAAATATTAAAATTCTGGGAGAATACTGGCAGGCTTAGCTCAACATAGAATGCGTTTGACACCCCAAAGAATCCACATTCCCTAAATGAGAAGAACTCAAAGGTGCTACAGCCAGTGTGGTACTTACCTGCTCATGCATGATTTCAGAAAGCTCCTTTGCCATTTCCCTGTAGTTGGCCTTCATTTCTTCCTGATACTCCAACTGGTCTTCTTTAATCAGACGTTCATTGACTGCTAAGGCCTGACCACAAGCTTCCACAAATTGCCTGAAATGGGATAGAGGAGGAAGATAAAAACAGAAGACAAAGAATAAGTCTATCTCTTTCCTGAATGAGTATAGTTTGGATCTGTAATGCTCCTCCTCAAAGCTCCCGTCTTGAAGGTGACACTACTGATAGGTGGAGGCATTTCAGTGTGGGGACATTTAGGTCATTAGGGATATGCCCTTTTAGGAGGTTGTAGGACTCTTACTCACTCTTTTGCTTCCCAGCCATGATGTGATTTTGCTTTGCTACACACTCCCATCATAACGTGCTACCTTGTCACAGGCCCAAAACAACTGGGCAAATTCATCACGCATTGAAATCTCCAATTTCCCAAACTGTGAGCCAAAATAAATCTTTTCTAAGTTAATTATCTCAGGTGTCTGTTATAGTAACAGAAAGCTTACTAACATGGAGAGAAATGATCAACCCATAAAGAGAAAAAGACATGTTCAGTGGGCTTTACCTGAAAACTTCCTTCAGCAACTTCACTTTATTGTCAGGATATCTTTTTGTGTTTGTGTCATCTAAGAAGGCTCGAGCATATGCTAGTGGACCAGCATTGACCTAAATAAAGAGCAAGGATTTTAAATTATCTTAGGAAGGAAATTACCATTATCGTTTATTTAGCTTTAGTTGGTATACACTAAAAATGCTGTTAGAGTGAGTTAGTCATGACCCCTGTCTTTCAGGAACTTACAAGCCAGAGGAAACCATAAATAAAGCTTACATTGTTGTAAGTCACTTGATTCCATCATCCTGGCCTTCTTTAGGGCACTTGTAACGATGGCTCATTTTATGTAAGAAGGGATCTTAAGGACCCATTCAAGCTTGAACATCCAATATTCGAAACACCAGAGCCCAAGTCTCCCAACTCCATGACAATGACTCTTACTGCCAGGGTTTTAGCCACTGAAATTTGTGCTACACTTCACTGAACTAACAGGTCCATCTGGTGAATTCAGTGGAAAATGGGAAAATAGTTCTAGTCAGTTTTTAAAATCAATTGTTCTTGTGCTGTGCACTGTAGACAGCCACAGGAAACTGACCTCTCATCCTCAGATGAAATAACCACTTGAGCTGTGCTGGAAACCAAAGATTATGAACATTTCGCAAGCTGGGGAGTGAACCAGAACCCTGCATCTCTCTCTCAATTAGTTAAGAAGAGTTCTCTGAAGTTGGTAAGTCAGGAAGTATAGGAATAAGGAGAGGAAAAAGGCTGGACATCCTGGGATGGAAAGGAGAATGCTCCAGGTACCTCAGAGAGCTTGGTCTATGTGACCACTGCATAATTTTTCCTGGAAGGTCTGGTGGGCTTGGAAACCACAGAGGTAGGGAGAACTATGTTGATGTCTATATGAGGCTGTGAACCATGGTGTGCAGGACCTGAGTATAGTGTCAGGAGAACTGAATCATGGGATTTTATGTCAGAAATGGGGAGACCAGAAGGTAGAAGCCACAGTGGTCAGAAATGGGACCTTTGAGACAGGACAACTAGCTAACCCACTGTGATGACTGAATATAGAAGGTAAGACTTAGCACTGGGCTATTCATGTGTGAGAACCAAGCTAACAAGCAGGCAACACAAAGACTGGTAGTCTAAAATGACACAAGGTGGTCAATTAAAAAAAGATGCTAAGAGGAAAGCTGATGAAACTATATAAGACCTAATATAACAAGATCTCGGTGCACAGTGCCAGAAGTCACGCAGACAACTCTGTCTTGGAAAGCAGCAACCCCAGTGAGTCTCTTGGTGAATGAGTTGCAGAAATACACAAATGAGATGACAGAGTTAATTTCCTCTGGCCCCAACTTTGTTGTTACCTGGGTGGGCACACACACAAGCTTTATCTATTCATTTCAACATGGAATTCTTTGGTTTGTAAAATGATTGGGTATTTTATCAAACTTGAAGGTCACTGTCAAATGGCAAGGCATGTTTTGCCTCTCTAAAGCTAACCTGTCCAGCCCCACTCTTTGCTGGTGCCCACACCCTTTTGCTGGTGCCCACACCCTTCTGCTGGTCTTTGATGGAGGCTGAATGTTCCCAGGTCGAGTTACTGAGTGATGTTTTTAGTTACAGAAAATTGTGGTCTCTGGCCTGGTTGTGTAATCACTTTGCTGGAATATTTATATTCACTTGCTCAACTATTTTGGCACATACTTTTTCAGGATATAAGGGTGGTGACTAGAAACATCTGCAAATACTTTTGTGGTCAATGACATTTAGAAAAATTGTAGGCAACAACTCGTGGTTCTTCAAGTGTGGATATGATGAAAATACTGACAATGAACAGAAAACCCTGACTCCATATAGCACAGTCTCCATGTAACTTCCATAAACATACTCCATTTGAAAGAGAAAAGAAAACAATGATATAGGGTACACAGAGAAACACATATGTGCTTGAATTACTTATATACAAAACTACCCATAAAAGCAAGAGGCTTGCTGGTCACTGGAATAACCTAGAAAAACAGCGTGAGATAAGCAAGATAATTTTCTTTTTGTGGTGCTGGGGATTGAACCCAGGGTCTTGAGCATATTAAGGCAAGTGCTCTACCACTGAGCTACATCCCCAGCCCTAGTAAGATAACTTCAAAAAACCTTTGAGCTATAATAGACAAACCCAAAAGTACATGTATCATAAGCATATCCTTGATGAATTTTCACCAACTGAGTGTATTTGTTTATCAGTATCTAGATCAAAGATGGTCTTTTCAATAAATAGTACACATCACTTGGACAGCCCTGTGGAGACAAAGTGAACTGATCCTTACCATATGCCACACACATAATCAGTTCTGCACGATTGCACAGAGCTGAGTGTGAATGCTGAACAAAGGGGGAAAACACAGAGAACATCTTTGAAGTCTTGGAATAGGCACAGAATTCCTTAAAAGGATACAAAATGCTACCAGTAAAGGAAAAATTAAGATTGGGCTATATTAAAATGAAAAGTTTCTGTTAATCAAAATACCATTAAGAGAGTAAAACTTAACCATACTTTTTTCAGATATAATTTTCATAGAAAGCAGAAACAAATAGTTTTATAGGAAAACCTACTCCTACTTACCCTCCTTATTTTAGAAGAGTCTTGATGCTTCCAATTAGGCACCCAGAATGTGTCAAATTACTGAAAAATTAGATTAGGGAACCATGGAGAGCAGTCTCTTTCCCTAGCAGACAGTTTAGTGAGACCCACATGTCACAGGAGTGGTGGGGGTGGGACATTTAAGGTTTCTGCTCTCTCTGACAGCAAGAGAAACTACAGACACCGGGGAGGGTTATGGGGATCGCCTGGCAAGCCAGAGAACTAAACTGGACCTTGCAATTTGCAAAATCCAAGGAAGGCTTTCCCTGCCTTTAGGCAAGCTCTGCCTGGCTCACCTGGACGCTTACGCTGCCCTGGAGTTTGAGCTGCAGTTTGATCATGTCCACTTCGGCCGAGGAGCACAGCTGCCGGAGCTCAGCTACCTTCTTACTCATCTCGTCAATGGCCACTTCAATGGGATTCAGGTCGGTGTGGTGCTGGTACATAACTGGAATTCGCTTCTTCACGTAAGGGAAGCAGTGGATTGCTGCAGAGGACCAAGGCCCAAAATTATCTCACAGCCTGCAAGATCTGGAGTATGGCTGAGGTAGAAAGAATTATTGTTCCCATGTTACAGGAAAAGAACCTAAAGCTTGCCAAAGCCACATGCTAGTCCTCTGTGATCTGCAATATTGTCTTCCTTTGTAATGTGCGTGTTTACTGGCAGGCTGTATCATAATGTGACAAGTCATGGCACTACCACCTTTGAAAATACCATTTTGTTATTCCTTGCTCAATTTTCTTATCCATAGATGTCCTGACTTCCTTGTAAATTGTGAGATCTGAATGAGTTAGATATGGATAGCTTTGAAAACATAAGAAAGACTCAACCGTTTTGAGACACTACATAGCAGATTAAGTCCAGAAAACTGTTCCATTAAAAACAACTTTGAGAAAATTCCTTTTTCTCCAAAGAACTGTGACTCACATGTTAAATTTGTATAAATCTGAGAAATCAATGAAAAATAACAAGTGAGAATGCATTTTCAAGCAAAGTGTTTCATGAACCAGAAATTCACAAACTCTTAGAAGTACACTAATAAAAGGTGTTTTTGAAACAGCAATTAGAAATGTTAATAGAACATTCACTGTTCCTTAAACATTTTTCACAAAAAAGGTGATTAATTTTATTTGCACTTATCAAAATAAGAACTGAACATACTGACACCAAAGAGTTAGCTTAAAAAATGAACAAAAAGACAGCAAGTTCTAATTTGGGTATTTTCTTGTTTCTTTATATAGTATGTGAATATCTGTAAAATTATTGCTTAATGTACAACTGCTAACAGACATTTACATATGCATGTAAAAGCTTCTTTTTTTAACAAGCAAAAGTAAGATGAAAGTGGTTATGTTAGAATTCCTTATTCTCCAGTAAGTTTGTTCAGCAAAGATTCATCAGAAAATGAGAGAAAGGGCTAGCTCTTGTAAAACAGAGCTCTGATGGGCCAACAATGCCTGGACAGAGCTGGAAAAGTATGTGACACAGAGCAACCTTACTGTTCACATTCTCTCCTCAAAGTGCATTATCAGTTGAAGGTCAAGAGTTCTTGTCTTGGGTTTCTCTTGTGTCCTTAAGGATACACAGTTTTTTAAGGCAGCACTAGGATTGCTAATTCCTCTTTGAACAAGGGCTTCTGGTATATTATAACATGAACTGGACATTACTGCATACAGCCAGGAAAGTGGTGTTCTGACTACAGGTATCCTTGCATTTGGATAGACTGATGTGCCATACAGAGGAATGCTGTAACATTTCTACAGTAAGGAAAAAGCGCCTGTGGAAATGTTTCATAAGGCCAATGATCCCGTCACATCACATGCATGTCATGGTATTTTTGAGAGCCATGGTGTGGTAGTGCCATTATTTCAGAGAGAAAACCCAACCCAGGGATCATGCTTGTGAGGTGTCTGTGGATTACACTGTTCTTACTCCATGTCAAAATCCTGAGCTACTGCGTCTTGGGATGGGAACTGGAGACTTCAAGAGAGGTATAGTAATACTACTCAGAGAAAACACGACGTCTGTGCCTGAGCCTACCAGGTCCCCATGATTTGGGACTCTCCCCCGAACAAGTGTCGCCTTGCCTCTGCAAGAGCATAGGCACCCAGGCCACTTCTCACCTGCTTCAAAACTTGACTCAAATGTCACTTCTTCAATGAGGCTTACACTGGTCACCCCATTAAATTGCAACCCTCCCCCTTAGCCTCACATTCCCAACCTCCTGTGCTTTCGTTCAGAACATATGGTAGGTTCTAACACAGACGTATTTCCTCTGTGTTGCCTGTCTGTTGCCTCTTGTTGGGATGGAAACTGCACAAAACCACAGACCTTTGGTGACTATGACAGGCTGTAGCACAGCCAGGGCTCAATAGGTGTTGTGGAGTCAATAAATGTGTCACTGCCACAAAGACCACATGGGAGAGCAAACAGGCCCTGGAAGGTGGGCAGCCAGGTGACCACTGGAGCAAGCCACTACATTACTGATAAAAGGTCCGCAGTAGTGAAGGAAGAGGAGGAAAACAAATGGATATGTGTGGTAACAGGAGGGGAGTAGGTGGAGTGGAGTCAGGGCACAATGTGGAAGACTTTGGAACTGGGAAGAAACTCCTTGGCAGAAGTCCCAGGAAAAAAGGAAAATTTCTGAGTCAGGCTCAGAAATTTCCCTGGGGGAAGCTAGATGCTGATCATAAGGTTTTTCAAATGCTGACACGATGGCAGTCACCTGACTGAGACACTAGGTGTCCTTTGTTAGGTGCAGAGGGCAGGGATGGCCAGGCCTTTCCTACAACCTATAAGGCCAAAGGTCTTGAAAGAGGTATGTAGGGGATTAATAACTTAAGGGAAAACGCTCCAGATTAAAGTCTTTTGAAGGCCCTAAGTCTGTGTATCTTTACAGGGTGATACAGAATTCACATGTTTTCAGTGGCCTTTTTGTCATCCTTTCTCTAACTCTTTTCTCTGCCCAGTAACTGTCACTGCAATATCTTGAGCTATCTCAGGGCATAACCTGTACCTTTTACTGTGTGCTTTGCTGTACACAGTACAGCATCAACCCCAAAAGGCAAGGAGCTCAATAGTGGATGAGATCTAGCAAAAGGAAGTATGTTCTTTCCTTTCTTTGTTACAATTCACAAAATCACTTAACACAAGGAGCTAAAGGTACAGACAGATTCAGCAACCTGCCCAGGTTCATACAGCAAGGTTGTGTTCCAGGTCTGCAGGAGTCCCAGGCTAGGCTCCCTGTTGTCCACCACTTTCTCAGTTCTAAAGCGTGGAAAGTGGTTCTTCTGAGAACCGACAAGGCTTGGTCTCTTCTGCCTATCTCTGCATGTCAGTTACTCTTTGTCCCCTTGGTTCTGACAGATACAGACAGCGCTTTGCTCACCTCCTTTATCTAATCTAAAGTAGTTCTCTAAAAATAACCCTGAAGGATATTTGCCAGGAAAAACATCCTATATTATGAATCAGTATGCACCTACGTTCGTCATAAGTCAGCTTTTCTCAAATCTGAGCATGCATCAGAATCCTTGTTGTGCTGTTGAGCAGAACAGCACAGCTGGGTCCCACTCCTGGGTTCTGATTCAGCAGGTTTAGGGCTGGGACATGGGAATTTGCACTTCCAACAAGTTCCTAGGGACTGTTGATGCTGCTGGTCCTGGGGAAGACCTTGATAACCAGTGATTAAAAGAACCAAAAGCGAAATAACCAGCACTGCATAGATGAACACTGTAAACTGGTAATTTCCATAAAACAGTCCATCTAGAAATACAGTTATAAGAATTTAAGATAAGAGGTGAGCATTAGAAAAACAATGGATTTACACATGGGGAAGGAGCTAATGTTTGTGAGGACAATATGGTTTGTGCTTTACCTATGCTATCCTAAAAGCAGGACTAGGGACATCAGAAGAATAGAGGATCGTTTTTAGGTTTTTGTTTTTGTTATTCTGAGACTGGGGTTTGAACTCATGGCTGCACACTTGCAAAGGTAGCAATCTTCTGCTTGAGTCACATCTTCAATCCATTTTGCTCTAGTAATTTTAGAGATGGGGACTCATGAACTATTTGCTCAGGCTGGCCTTGAACCTCGATCTTCCTGATCTCAGCCTTCCAGGTTGGTAGTATTACAGGGTGAGCTACCAGTGCCAAGCTTAGGGTTTTTTTTTTTTTTTTTTTTTTTTTAAATTTTTATCTCATTTATCTCATAGGGAGAAAATGAAATATGCTGTACTAAAGTTTTTTCTCACTTTAGTAATAGCTTTACCTAGATATCAATCATACAGTTCACTCGAAGTATAAATTCACAGGTGAGAGTTGAGGACCACCTGAAATGTGGTGTCTTACTGGTGCTTTCATTTACCATGATGATCACTTGCACAGTACTCCCAGATAGAAAATGCCAGCACAAACTGCTAGATAAGCCAGTGGGTGCTTTTCTGGCTCTACTTAATGAAGGCTGCCCTTCAGAACTGTGCCCAAGTGATGGGTATGGACATGCCTGGCATCCTGAACCGACCTCTCACTGAGCTGGCCTTTTGCTGAATGAATGAAGGAACAACATTTTCTGTCAAGAAACTGGTTCATTTTAGGTTATGCCAATTATGTTGCTGACCCCTAAGAACACTTGAGCCAATCTTCCCCAAAGAATGTAAAAGTCATCCCCAAAGTGACTCAACAACTTGTCAGGGACTGGGGATGATGCAGAATGAACTCTACCAGATTAACTAAAACTGCCGCAGTTGAAAGGAAGCTTCTGAATGCGGCAAGCGTCCTGGGACTGGAGATGCTCAAGCCAATGCAATGCAGGTCTGCTGTCAGCAACCTGGGGTGGGGAGGCACCCAGTCCATGCTCATTTATTCACTCAGCCTAAAATTACTGAGTAGGTCCATGCAGTAGAGGCTGTGAGAGAGTCAAGGTCTGAGTGTGGGATTCCTAACTGAGGACCACAGCCTGGAGGGGGCCATGTGGGGTTCAGAAAGGGTTCCTAAACTACCAGGATACCAGGAACTGCATGCAAAAGCATCTGGTCAGATAAAAGCCTGCTGTCTTCCTCAGACTCTAACAAGGGCAGGTGACCTTACATTGGACATGAGCTTCTGGTCTGGAGGAAGAAAGTGTAAACAGATAAATGGAAAAATGTCACGCTGAACTGAAATGGGAGTGGGGGCAGCTTATGAAGGAACCAGAGGGTTGAATTCCTACAGGGAGCACTTGGTTGAGGTCAGGGAGACCATACCTGTCAGGATGGTGCGCCGTTTGCACTGCTCTTCCACCCCGCCCTGCCTTTTCCCCGTCTGGGTAAAGGGCATCTCAAACATGAAGCGCCGGATGTTGTGTGATCTTTCAAACTCTGTCTTCCTCTCTTGCAATTCTTTCTCATCAAAGAATGGGATCACATGAGTTACCTGGATGTAGGCATATTTGGAATCTAGATCCTTAGGGTTGACCTTGAAACAAATAAGCAACAGCGAAGATGGGTGCTATGTGGAGGAACTCCTCAAACCTCAGCCATTTGTATTTTCCAACCTTTTATTAGTAAATATTTTCAAAAAATTTAGAAAGGATGAAAAAGATAGTATATCCACATACCTACGACTAAGATCAACATTGTAATAGCCTGCTATATTTATTTCAACACCTACATGTACGTATACATGTATGAACACATATTTAAACACATAAATGTAGACTCTTTTATTAACTGAATTATTTCAAAGTAAGTGATAAATATCATGTCATTTCAGCCAGTTCTTCCTAAAAAATGAGGACATTCTCAATAACCCCAATGCATAATGACACTCAACAATATTAATGATAATTCCCCAATAATATTCAATGTTCAGTCCCTATTGTACTTTCCTAAAATGAGTCTAGAATGCTACTTACACTACAATTGTGTAAGTTTTTGTTTGAATTAGAATCTAATTAATGATCATACTTTACTTTCAGTTCTCTCTTTATTCTTAAAAAAATTTTTTTTAGCAGTACTATGGTTTGAACTAAGGGCCTTGCACTTGCTAGGCAAGTGCTCTACCACTCGAGCCATGCCTTCATCCCTTTTTGCTTTTTTACGTTATTTTTCAGGTAGGATCTGACATTTTGCCTAAGGTTGATCAAGGACCACAATCCTCCTACCTATGCCTCCTGCACAGCTGGGACTTCAGGTGTTGCTATGTGCTCAGCTTCTTTGTTGAGAAGGGGGTCTCATTAACTTTTTGCTTGGGCTGGCCTTCACCCACAATCCTCTGGATGTCTGCCTCTGGAGTAGCTGGGATTAGACATGAGCCACTGGACCTGTCCTGGGATATTGTTTTCTGAGCCTCCACACTTCCAACAAAGGTCTCATCTCCTTATTTCTTAATTAATCTAGTACTTGCCACTATCTCTTTTTTATAATGTTAATATGTGTGAAGAAACTCTGCTAGTTTTCTTGTTCCATGATCCCTAGTCTAGGTTTTCCTGGCTCTTTTTAAAACTCAAGTGGTTTAGGCAGAAAAATGTTTATTTTAGGAATAATAATTGAAAGTTAGGTCCCTGAATTATCACAATCTGTATTCTCATCAGATTAGATGCAAAGAGCAGCAGATTAATTAATTTAACACGGGTAAAGATTAATCTGAGACCAATTTAACAGTAAGTTTAGTTCCTGATTAACTCAGCACATAAACACGTTTACCACTACACTGTGAGAGCTGCTAGCATGCCCTTATCTGTGACATGATGGAAAGTTAAGTATAGGCATTTTCCATAGAGGAAGAAAGGCTAATTTATTAGAGCGACAAATCAGTTTTACAAACTGTAATTGCATTTAACCTTCTAGAAGGTTATGGACAAGGAAGAAATGACAGTAAAGAGAACTTAGAATGAAGGTGGGTAAATGAATGAGATAAGATGATTTTGCTGTTCTAACAAACATGTTCGTGAAGAAAAATGAAAAATATTGATGTGAAAGTGCCTTAAATTCAGAAGACTAGAAAACACATAAAGCCAAAGAAAGTTATTTGTATTTTAGAAAAAGTCATTGGGCCAATCACTGTAATTGTATTTGAACCTACTAAGCTTGACTTCTTTAGCAGAAATGACTTAAAGGTAGTGGGAACGGAGACTTCTTGCTTGGTTTTTGCATTATTTCCCTGCTCTTCGTGTTCAAAGCCATATGCGATACCAAGAGCAGGAATGGAGCATTGGTGGAGGGGAGGGGGGGGTCCCATAACTCTTTCATTTGCTGTACAAAGGGCTGCACAGTAAAAGAGGAAGAAGAATGATTGAGAACCCAGGCAAAAAGATTAAAGGCACCACTCGATCTAGTTTTTTGTTTTAGAAAAAAAGGCCAACTGGAACTAAGTAATGTGGTCTACAGAGTAATGGGTCTTAATATGGCTGTGTTGAGTTTCTGCCTAAAACTTGGGTTGATCCCTTTTTCTTTGTGCAACTCTGTTAAAATGACTTCACGAATTAACCCATAAGGACCCAGGAAGGATGACAGAAGATAGTAGTGGATGAGAGATTTTAATGACTTTTTCTTTTCTTTTTTTGGACATAACAGGGCTTTGCTTTCTAGGTAGGTGCTCCACCACTTGAGCCACGCCTCTAGCTTAATGAAGTTTTGGAAGACAGGTGTGTGGAAGTGTGAAAATGTGCCATTTGACAAGGCAGAGTGGAGAGAGTGCTAACCCTTGGTTCCACAGATGGGGAACACACAGAAGTCAAGAGCATCCCTCAGAGCCCATGGAGGGTCAATACTTGATGTCCCTAGGAGTAGGGTGACCATGTGAGGTGTGGGGAGGAAAATAATGCAAGTGGCCCAAAGTCTCTATCTGGGCTGGAAACTCTGGGTTCCCTTTACTAGTCTCCACCCTACAGACAGCAGAGGTCAGCCACTGGCAAAACTCATCTGGAAAGGTTCAAAGTAGGCAAGCTGGTGTCAGCAAAAAGCAGGGACAACGTATAGCATGGAACCAGGGTGGCTAAGCCAGAGGCTGCAGTATCTTCTCTGCTGTATCTGGAACCAGCAGTCAGATGTTTACCTGTCTTCGTTGTCCCCTAACCAACTCCCTACCCATGTGGGCAGGAAACTGGAGGACACCTCTCTGGGGAAAATGAAGGGCCAAAGAAACAGACTCTAGACTCTGAGCTCTCTGAAAGAGGGCTTAGGGAAACAAAACAAAACATAGGACTACTGACCACTCCAAAATGGTGTCCTTAGAAAGAGACAGGGCTTTATCACTGCTGGAGAGCTGAGGAGAGAGTTTTTTTTGAGCCTGTAGCTCAGGCTGGCCTTGAACTCAAGAACCTTTTGCCTCAGCCTCCTGAGTGCTGGGATTACTGGTATTTGCTACCACACCCAGCAATAGAGCATTATGAAAGCAAAGAACAGGAGCGCTAACTGTGCCTGAGGTTGGGGAAGCAGAGGGACACCTGGCTTCCTGGAGATATTCTGAACAGGGTAGCACACATAACTGTACAGGCCAACTGTATATGTTCATCAGTGGTCCTCCTGAGAGCCAAACACCAGAGGATAGCCTCTCTAAACAGGAAGTAGATCTCCTTCTCACAGTCATGCTGTCTAGTGAGTTAATTCCTTGGTCTGCCCCTGTCCATCCATCTAACCACCAGAGATGCAGAGTCAAGTCATGTACACTGTGCTAAGTGCAAGGGAAAGGAACAGTATGGAACAGAATCTTGGAGAATTCTTTCAGAGTTCCTAAATGTTGGGACTAAAAACAGAATATCCCTTCAGATTTTAATTATTTTGTAAAAGAAGATATTCTCTCTCTTTTCTGCTTTTTGTTTTTGTTGAGACAGGGTCTTTCTATGTAGCCCATGCTAGTCTGAAATTCACTGTGTAGCCCAGGCTGGCCTTGAACTCATGATCCTCCTGCCTTATTCTCCGGAGTGCTGGGATTACAGACATGTGCTACCATGCCTAGCAAAAGAAGATACTTTTAAAGTTCTGCAGTGAAGATTTAATTAATATCAAGCATGTAATGGAAAACACAAAAAAGTATTAAGAGGGAGAAATACACCTGCCACTGAAGGCCACCCATCCTTAATGTTTTCCTGGGCTTTCTTTTCTATACACATTTATGAATACATAATACATAACCAACCACATGTAACCTGTCAGAACAATATTACATTGCTATACAACTTATCTGAACATGGTCATACCTTGCCAGAATCCTGTATCATTTTGACATTTTCAGAACCAAATTTATCTGAGTAGAGTTTAAGGAGTCTCTGAGAAATTTCTGACAGAGGTGTGAGTTTGGGTTCTTTGTAAATATACTCCTTTCCATCTTCATCTTCGAAGAATCCCTGGGATGCAAAGCATAGTGAGACCTGTCCCTGACTGTAAGCCCAAGGCTTACCACCCAGGAAGGGTTCTTTGGTTACAAGGGTAAAAAACAAACCAATCAACTGAAAAAAACAAGGAATGAGTCTAAAATAAAATCCTACTTAAACATGCTGTCCAAATAGGAAGGAAAATGGTAAGAATGTGGAGTCTGGGTGCAAAGATAAAGGAACACAGAACTACAAACTTATTTGAGAATGTTGTCAGTAAGTGTTGAGTGAAATGAGAGGTTTGGGATTCGAGACTGTGCTCTCTCAGGGCAGTCTAATGATGAGAGTCAAGCCTGTTTCACATTCCCAGGGAGCAGAACTCACTAAAAAAGGGGCAGCAGCCTGCCATCGTCAGGCCTAAGAAACATACGCCCATCTCTTCCCCTGACCTCTCCCATCTACACATGATCTTATAGCATGGCTTACAGCATTTGGATCTGGAGTAGGTCGAGCCAAAATTATATAAAGTTTGAGTAAATTCTGCTTTGCTTTACTGATGGGAAAAAATATCAATGGCCTGCAGCACCATATCAGAAAATAGTCTCATTATTACCAGTCATTGTTTAGCACTAATCATATTTGACTGCAAGGCTTAGAATTACATGGGAAGTGAAAAAGGTTGAAAACTAAAAAAGTCAAGACTGGGGGTTAATATTTGAAATAAAATCTTAAAAAGTTTCTCATCTAAAATAAAAGAGAGAAAATGGTACAAAAAGACACAATGAATGTAAAAAAAAAAAAGTAGGCTAACACAAGACAAAAAACATCCACATCAAACTAGGAGTTTAGGTGCAGTAATCTCACTGCATGACTTGCTTTTTTAGGCATTTACTGTAATTACCTCCACATCTGTTTCACTGTCTGTAAACTGGTATTGCTATAAAGTTATAAAAGACAATAACAGAATAAATTGAAGGTTATATAATGCTCACAGAAAACCACATACCCTAAATAAATGGATTATAATTTACACCATTTAATAATGTTAGAGCTTAAAAGTTAAAATTGAAATTAAACTGAGACAAACCCTCTCATATAGGGTTTCTGGAGTATTATGATGATAAATACACTCACAGAGATGTTATATTACAAAAGATAGAGATGCACAGGCATAAAGGAAACCAGGTTTAGATTTTGGTTTAAAACATGCAATACAGATGTACAAGGAAACAGATGACATATTTCTGTAAATGGAGAGAATGTTAATTTTCTTTGTGGCGTTTGTAATTGGACAATATACATACAGACTTGGAAAGGAAACTTGCAAACCACAGTGAAGTACCAAAGATGCCGCTAAGAATGTCTTATGGAGGAAGAACTTACCGCTGCCTTAAGAGAGTAATAAGAAAAGACAGGAAGAAAGAAAAAAGGTGAAAGTTTACTATGGAGGAAGATAAGAAACAGACTAAATATGACAAATTTATCAAATCAGCATTTATAAGCAGAACATTTATAAGATACTACTTGAAGGACTTAGGGCAGTCTGCAGAATGGAGAGGAAGCTCACCTGTCCGAAGAAGGCTACCCGGAAGTAGGTCCCCAGAAGCCTGCGGCCTGAGTGCATGACCTCGGTCACTTTGCTGTAGGCCCGGTGCAGCGTGTCATACAAATGGGCTAGCCTCTGGAAAGCAGAAGAGAATCCATTTTTTTCCCACTTGTAAATAGTAGAATCAATTTTAAAGAAACAATTAAATGTGATAATATAGGTGAAAACTTTTTTTTGAGTAAAAAAAAATTCAGAATATATTTTGACTGTATAACTTGTAATGAACACTTACAAATTGCGATGTTTCCTACTAAGGGGCCAAATTGTTTATGAGGGCCCATCAAATTTCCACACTGTAGTAAGAAAGTTCGATTTTCAGGTTTACATGAGATGTCGGAGAAGTCCTCTGATGCTGTTTTTAGGCTCTGCTTTTCCCACTCCACTGGATATGTTAGCACATTGCACACAGGTGGAGCAAGGAAGAGCTCTGACAGAAACAGTACCTCTGATCACAATGCTCTGCTTCTGACTTTTCAAAAGCAGGGCGCTGGGGCTGAAACCTTGCAGTTCGAGGTGTGGGGGTGTCAGTGTAGAGGCGGGGCCCAGGTTTATGTAGTGCCTGATGACCACCTCTGGCAAAATGTGGAAGGTCAGAGAACACCTGCTCATCACTGAACCCAGGCCTGCTTGCTCCCTCTGCAGGTAAGCAGGTCTGGGACATGCCATACCATTGCTATTGCAGACAGGGAAAAACAAAAAGCCAGATACCTCAAAATCCCTTCGCTTCTCATAAATGGGAATGATGAGTTTATAGATGTCAGCGATCAGCTCGTAGCGTTCTGCCTTCCAAAGTCCATCTGCACACTGCTCAAGCAGCTCCATCAGCACATCCTGATCAAAGAGAAAGGCCACAGCCAGAGAAGAGCATCATGACGAGCACAGTGGAGTGCATGCCCAGTGGGACTGCATGAGGTAAAGTTTCAAAACAGACAATACTTTTTATGCACTAACTCCATGGTTCTAATAATCACCACCATGTTCTTTTCTAGGAAACTGTTTTCCCAATCATATTTACAAGCAAAAATGAAAGAGGAGTCACTGTGCACAAAAGTGTAATAGTAACTAGCACAGAAAAACACACTGACACAGGTTCATATAGGTTCTCAATTTTTGTTCTTCATTCTCTTTTTAGAAATACAATTTAGAAATTTCTGTTACTTTTTTGAGGAACAATGCTAATGTTGGCACAAGGAAGTTACTAAGCATGACTTTAACCCCAATTAAACAAGGTAAAGGAATATAGTGAAGGAGCATGCTGGGCCCTGTGCCTGCTTCACCAACATCCTTTCTTTGGAAATTTCTTTCTAACAAAGTTCTGTCTTCATTAGAGCTGTTGGACTTTGGAGGAAGGTAAGAATGGCTCAAGAATTGGGGCACGTGGCTCAAATTTATATTGATCAGCATGACCAATTTCCTGCCCAAGGTCATTGGTTAATCCTGGGTAGACATGTGACCTAAGCGCCAATCAGGGTGAGTTTTAGGATCCCATCTTGGAATGCTGGGACAGAAATATTCCCACCAGACAGGATCCAAGAGAGATAGCATGGAGCTTGACTGGGGCTGGCATTCTTCTCATGGCTGTGGAAGGGATGTCTGCCTTATAAACAGAGTGAAGAGACCCCTCTGCCCTTGCAGCAACTGTGCCACTGACAGCTTTCTTAAAGGTCTGTATGAAGCCAGCATGTTTGTGTCCTCTGTAATTCTACGAGGGCAAACCCTGTCTTTTCATCATTAGCCTAATGTTTCATCACAGGCCCAACGTCTTCTTACAGATACAAAGAAAATAAACATCTTAAAAGTGATCGTGATTCAATTTACCTGAAAATACTAAGCAAGGTCACTTAACTCCTGTGTCATATTTATAACACAGAAACTATAAAAGTGTTATTTGTGTGACTGAACTTTATACCAGGGCTTATAAACAGGCATGTCAGTTATCTCAAGCTTTTATTTAGGCCTCATTAAATCTAGACGTGTGTAGTAACCAGCAGTATAGCTGTAGGCAAAGAAGAAATCAGGAAACTTCCTAATACCATCCCTTTTCTTTTGCATTTGTATTATGAAGCTGTACACCTTTCTTACTTTTGTTTAAAAATTTTTCCCATGGACAGTCACAATTTTTTTATTTTGTTCATGCCCTTTTGTTTTAAAAAGGCTAGATAAAAAAGTATGAAATGAAACTTGTATGATTTTACTGCCATATTTGTAAAATGCATCATAGGTCTAATCTTAATTGGTGCTTGTTAAGATCAATAAACATTTACTCATCAAAATGCTCCGAAAACAGTAATACTCACAGGCCACTTAAACCTCTTTCATTACTTTTTTGCATTCATTTTTAAAAACTCTTTTTTTCTACTGGGCTACATAATGCTCCGTAGTGCCAAATACATGCTAGAACACACCACACTCCAGTGGGAATTTACTAAGCGTTTCCATCTCAGTGCAGTACAGGCTGAATTCTGAGAAAACCCAATTTCCAATGGGGATGAAAATACTGTACAACTGAGGGGTTTTTTTGTTGTGGTTCTGGGGTTTGAACTCAGGGCCTTCATGCTTGCTAGACAGGAGCTCTACCACTTAAGCCACTCCGTGAGCCCTAAGTATTCTTCTGATAATGAAACAGTCAAGGGCATGGAATTTCTCCCATTTAAAACTATTTTTAAGTTTAACTTTCAGATTAATATCTTGACCCCTTTTATTCTAACTACTGGGCCTTTTCAAAGGAAAATGTAAAATGTAGTTTTTTGTAAAAAGCTACAATTGGTTTTACCAGCATGCATCGGTCACACTGGAGACATAATGCACAATGATGATATCTATTTATTTTAATCAGATTAGAGAGACCTAGAGGTTCTTTTGTTTTGGGTCAGGCAGTGGCTCAAATCTGTAATCCTAGCTATTTGGGAGGTGGAGAGCATAGTTTGAGGCCAGCCCAGGCAAAAATTTACAAGATCCCATCTCAACCAATGGCTGGGTGTGGTGGCACAGGTCTGTCACCCCAGCCATGCAAGGAAGCACAAATAAGAGGATGGTGGTTCAGGTCTACTTAGTCACAAAGTGAGACTCTATCTCAAAAATAATCAATGCAAGCTGGGCACAGTGGTTCACACCTGTAATCCTAGCTACTCAGGCAGACTGGGAGGATTGTGGTTCAAGGACAGCCTGGGCAAAAAGTTCTTGAGACCCCATCTCAACCAAAGAACTGGGTGTGGTGGCATGTACCACATCCCAGCTACATGGGAAGCATAAATAGGAAGATCACAGTACAGGCTGTCCCAGGCAAAAATTTAAGTGCCTATCCCAAAAATAACTAAAAGAAAATAGGGCTGGTGGATTGGCTCAAGTGGTAGAGTGCCTGCCTTGCAAATGTGAGGGCCTGAGTTCAAACCCCAGTAATGCCCAAAAGATTCTTTTTTTAAATCAATATTAATTATACAAAGGGGTTTCACTATGGCATTTCCATTTGTGCACATATTGTACTTTGATCAAATTCACCCCTCCATTACTCTTTCCTATACCCTGTCTCCCCTCCCACCCCTTTACAGTTTCCAGTGGGTCTTGTTTTGCTTTTTCAATACATAGGTATAATATACTTTGAACATATTCACCTCCATCACAATCTTCTTTTCCTCTCCTCCTCCCAACCAGGTTCCTTCCTCCAAAGACCCACTTTTAAATTCATGTCTATTTAAAAAATTCAGTGTAGATTCCACATAGGACAGAAAACATGGCCTGACTTATTTCATTTTACAGGATAATCTCTAGTTCCATCTATAGACCTATAAATAACATAATTTCATTCTTCTTTATGGCTGAATAATGCTCCACTGGGAATATATGTCATGCTTTCTTTATCCATTCATTGGTTGTTAGGTATGTAGGCTGTTTCTATAGCTTGGCTATTTGTGAATAGTACTGCAATAAAGATGGGTGGCGGATGTCTTTATTGTTTGTTGGCCTACATTCCTTTGGATACAGCCCAAGAGTGGTACAGAAGGATCATGTGCTAGCGCTATTTTTAGTTTTTGAGGAGACTCCACATGGGCTAAACTAATTTACATTCCCACCAATGGTGTGCAGGGTTCCTTCCCCCACATCCTTGCCGACATTTGCTATTGTTTGTTTTTCTTGATGACATCCATTCTGACTGGAGTGAGAGGGAATCTCAGTGTGGGGTTTTTTTTTTTTTTTGAGATCTAATTATTTTTTATTAACATGTATTAACTGTATAAAGGTGGTTTATTATATTTCCAAACATGCCTGTATGTACTTTGAATAAATTCACCCCCTCTATAATCTTTATCATAATTCCCCCTTCCTCCCTATTTTAAACAATTTCAGCGGGTTTCATTACTCTATTTTCACACATGCATATGAAGTACTCACCCTCTCTTTTCACCCTCCCCGCCCCCTGCTGGTTTCCACCCCAAACAGTCCCTTTGTTTTACAGTCATGTCATTCTTTTTTTTTTTTTTTCAGGTCTAGACTCCTCAGTGTTACTTTCATTTGCATTTCCTTTATAGCTAAGGGTGTTGAACATTTCTTCATCGATTTATTGGTCATTTGTACTTCTTCCAAAAACTATCTGATCAACTCATTTGCTCATTTATTAATTGGACCTTTTTTTTTTTTTTGAGGTACTAGGGTTTAAACTCAGGGCCTCATGCTTGGTAGTCAGGTGCTCTACCACTTGAGCCACACTCCAGGCCTTTTTTTTTTTTTTGCTTTAGTTATTTTTCTGATAGGGTATCATGTTTTGTCTGGGGCCCAGTTCAGACTTCGATCCCCTACCTAAGTCTCCCAACACACCTGGTATTGCAGACATAACCACCACGCCAAGTTTGTTTGTTGAGACAGAGTCTTGCTAACTTTTTGCCTGGGCTGGCCTGGAACCATGATCCTTCTGATCTCCACCTCCCAAGCAGCTGAGATTTGTAGGTATGTGCCACTGTGTCTGGCCCTGGGTGTCTGGGTTTTTTTTTGAGCTTTTTATATATTCTGGTTATTGATCTCATTAGATGAATAGCTGGCAAAGATTTTCTCCTGCTGTGTAGGTAATTGTTTCCTTTGATGTGTGGAAGCTTTTTAATTTGATGCAATCCCATTTGTCAATTCTTGCTCTTATTTCCTTGAGCTTTTGGAGCCCTTTTCAGAAAGCTGTGAGACTGAAAGACTCTTACTCTCATGCATTAGCAATTTCATAACAAATGAAAATTGTTCTCAAGAATTGAAAAGTTAGTAAACATGCACCATCATTTCCACATTACTGCTTCTTTTCACTCATCCATTTAATCATTTGTTCAAACATTTCCACGATCTACCATGTGTACATCACCATGTTTGACATTTTGGTTATAAAACCAAATCTATATAAGTAAAATCAAGTCTCTATGACCTATAAAAACTGCTTAATAGATTTTTACTAAATGTGGCAGTTATGTTTTTGATGGTATTATGGTTTGAATAGAAAATGCTCCCCACACGCTCATGTGTCGAAATTTGGTCCCCAGCTGGTAGCTCTATTTTGGGAAGTGGTAGAAACATCAGGAGGTAGGGCCTAGCTAGAGGAAGCAGGCATGCCTTTGAAGGGTATCTTGCCACTGGCCCCGTTCTATCTCTGCATCCTGGCCACCATTAGGTCAGCGGTCCTGCCTACCATGCTCTTCCACCAGGATATTCTGCCTTACCATGGCCCAAAAACAACACACCCAACTGACCATGGATTCATACCTCAAATCCATGAGTCAAAATAAATCTTTCCTCCTTTAACATTGTTTTTCTCAGGCTTTTGTCACAGCAATGAAAAGCTAATACAGATGGTCTATTAA